CTGATATTGAGCTTCTCCAGCGGTTTTTTCCACAGATATAATCGATCTGATTCCTATGCATACCATCAGGTGAAATCCATGTGTATAATCTACGTTTATGTCTCTTAAAAAATGTATTTGCAATGAATAAATCATTGTGCAAAATTCAATCATTCTACCTCCAGCTTATAAACAACGTTCTATCAGTTGACTAACTTATCCCATGCAACAGAAAATGAACTTCAGAACATGGTCTGTTACATATGAAGAGTATCTGTCTTCAATGAATATATGGTCATGCATGCATATAATGTATTTAACAAGCATATAGAGTCTTCTGTTTTCACATATGTATACATCAGCACTAACCAATATATCTATATGCCAATCGTATAACCATCCATATGTGATCTAGCCTTGTTTTCTGTTCTTAGTTGGAACTGTTGCCTTTCTATACATGTCATGTTCAAAGCTGCTGAATTCTGGAAAGTTAAGTTGTTTTCATTGAGTGTATCTGTGGAGGAGATTGTTGGAGAAGCTCAATATTGGCAGTCAAAACTAGACCAGGGGTGGACTATAGATCAGACCACCAATTATTCATATGCAAGTTCAAATTGAGGCCAAAGAAAATTAAAATAAGTCCACAAGAGTCAAATATGATCTTGAGTCTATTCCATCTGAATTTGAAGATCTATTTAGAAATACGTTTAAGGCATTGAACACCAGTTGTGGTATGCTACCAAGGATATCATCCATGAAGAAAGCAAAAGACCATTATAAACCACGAACCAGAAAGCCGCGGCACGTGAGCCACCGTTCTCTACCAGTGAGCTACATCTCCAGACCCGCAAAAGGCCATTATAAAAACAGAGGAGAAAGGAATGGATGTCAGAAGCGACTCTAATAATTTCACTAGAGCACTAGGAAGCCAAAACAAAGGGGAAACAAGCTGAATTAAAGAGCTGAATAGAAGATTTCAAATGGCAGCTCAAGAGAGCCAAAAAAGGTACTATAACGGAGTGTGCAGAGTTGGAATTGGAGAATAAACAGGTAAGAACTAGCTCTGCATTTCTCAAGCTGAGAGAACTGAAAAACAAATTTAAACCTCGAGTCACATTACTGAAAAATCTTACGGGCAATATATTGAATGATCCAGAAAGCATCAAAAGAAGATGGTGGGAACACACAGAATCACTGTGCCAAAAAGAATTTATGGACACTGAAAAATTCCAGGAAGTAACATATGAACAGGAGCCACTGGTAATGAAGGAGGAAGTTGAAGTTGCATTTAAGGCACTGGCAAAAAAATAAGGCCCCAGGAATTGATGGAATACCAATTGACTTGTTTAATAGATGTGGCCCTGGATGTGCTCACCAGTCTGTGTCAGGAAATTTTGGAGGACAGCTCTCTGGCCAATAGATTGGAAAAGGTCCATAATTGTTTCCATTCCCAAGAAAGGTGATCCAACAGAATGTGGAACTATGAAACAATATCATTAATATCACAAGCAAGGAAAATACTGCAGAAAATCATTAGTACATAGATAAGAAACTGCCAGAAGTTTCAAGCAGGATTTAGAAGAAGCCGTGGCACCAGGGATTTCATTGGTGATGTCAATTATCCTGGCTGAAAGTAGGGAATAACAGACGAATGTTAGCTGTACTTTATTGACTATGCAAAGGCATTTGACTGTGTGGATTGTAACAAGTTGTGGCAAACATTGAGAAGAATGTGAATCACAGAGCTCTTCATTGTGCTCGTGCAAGAACAGGAGGCTGTTGTGCAAAAAAGAGCAGGGAAGCACTGCGTGGTTTAAAATTAAGAAGGGAGTGTGTCAGGGTTGCATTCTCTATCCATACCCATTCAGTCTCTATGCTGAGCAAATTATTCAAGAAGTTGGACTCTACAAAGAAGAATGTGTCATCAGGATCTGAGGGACACTCATCAATAACCTGCATTATGCAGATGACACAAACTTGCTTGATGCAAGTAAAGAGGACTTGAAACACTTGTTGCAGAAGATCAAGGAATGTAGTCTTCCATATGCATTGCATCTCAATGTCAAGAAAACAAAGATTCTTACCACTGGACCTATAGGCAACATCATGATGGATGAAGAAGAGACTGGAATTGTCAACAACTTCATCTTACTTGGATCCACAATTTACACCTTTTAGTACCAGCAATCAGGAAAAAAAGGAGATGCATGACATTGGGGAAAGTCTGCAGTCCGGGGACTTTTCCAAATTATTGAGGAGTAATGATGTCAGTTAAAGAACTAAGGTGTGTCTGATTCAGGCCATAGTCTTTCTAATCACTTGTAATGCATCTGAGAGCTGGACAATGACTAAGGATGACAGATGAACTGGTTGAGCTGTGGTGTTGATGGCCAAAAGGACAAACACATACGTCTTGGAAAGGGTGCAGCCAGGGTCCTCTTTGGAGGCAAAGATGATGAGGCTTCGCCTCACGTACTTCAGGCATGTTACCAGCAGGGACTATTTCCTGCACAGGGACATGATGATTGGGAGGGTGAAGGGTTGGCAAAAGGGAGGAAGACCCTCCACAGGTGGACTGGCAAAGTGACTGGAAGTGCCAGAAGTGTGAGGATGGCAAAGGATAGGGCAGGGTTCAGATTCATTATCAATAGTGTCGCTAAGAGTCATACTCAATACGACAGCATCAAACAACAGCAACATGTAAGTGTACTTGGACAGAATTTAGTTCATTTTATGTTCTTTTCATTAATTCATCTCTACTTTCTTCTTTTTAAAAAAGGAAGTATTAAATATTAAATATTTTAAATTGCTTATCTTTAAGTAATTTTTGCAAAATAGATTAATTTCAAATGTTCCTTCTGTTTGACCACAAAACATTCAACAACAAAGTCAGCACTGGAACAGTACACCTACCAAGATTTTCTAGGCCTGAGTCAAATAATTTTGCATAAATGGCCAAAATTAAGTTTCATCAACCTTGTCTTGATAGACCAACAGTCAGAGAGCAGTTTCCCCGAGCCACTCAACATTATGATGGTCATTTTATCTAACAACCTAAAATAGCAGAAGTTAATTCATTCAATGTGGAGGGAGGGTCATTAGCAAATGCATGAATGAGACCATCTAATTCTGGCTTCCCTGTGGTTTCCCATTTGTTAACTCTAGCCCTGAATTCCTAATCCACAGAGGACAACTGATTCAAGCAGCATTCCCTCCCAAAAATGTCACAGGGGTGAAATGATTACACATACTTCTGGAAACACAAACTGTACAATGTGAATTCATGAATAAGAATATATAGCAAAACTAAGTTTTAAGAAAAAAGAATTAATGATGATGATGATGATAAAAGACAACGACACTGTTGTTATTATTGTGTACAATCCAGTCAGAACCAGCTCATAGATGACCTTTCAGCGGGTTTTCAGGGGCAGTAAATCACACAGGAGGAGACTGCCTACTTTTCTCCCTCAGAGCAGCTGGTGGATTCAAATTGTGAGGCTTGAGTTTAGCAGTGTGGTTCCCTACCACCAGAGTTGGGCTATAGTTTTTCCATGTATATACTTCTTAAATTATTCTTAAGCCTTTCATGTCTATCATCACTTGTCTTAGTGTCACACTGGTTAAACACTTGGCTACAAATCAAAGGGTCAGCAGTTCTACCACTCCAGGGGAGAATAAGGTAATTTCATGTTGGTTTTGTGTTGTGTGCCATCGAGTTAGAACAGGCCCACAGCTGATCCTCTGGCGGGTTTTTAGAGAAATTTAATTGCACAGGAGGAGAATGCCCCTTGCCAGTAAGTCATCAGAGCTGCCTGTCTTACAGGGTTTTCATGAGTTGGAATCAAATGAACATCAGTTAAGTTTAGGGAATCTTTAAGAATTGAAAATAAAAAGTAAGCAGAAAATAAAGCTTAATGGGGAAAACTTAAATAGTTCATTCAAAAGGTTTATGTTTTCTTTTGTAATTATGATTTCTCCCCTGAATATGTCTGCTACAGCGATACTTGCACTGTAAATAAGTAATATAATTACATTCTGCTAGAAAATTCTTCCTAGATGTTGTGACTGAGTTACTGCATCAATACAGGACAGTGTTTAGGAGCCTAGCTCTGAGTTGGAATACCGCTTCTTTCTATGATTCTCTGTCTTTGAGCAAATTCCTTAACCACTAGTAAGTCAAAATTTCCTACAGTAGAAAATGGGAAAAATAGTATATACACCTCAGAGAGTTATGTGGGCATGAAAGTAGACAATGTTGTGATTACTAACTAGAACGTAATCAATAAATACATTTATTGTCATCAAATTCATTTTTATTATTCAACACAGTGTTCCCCAAAGAATACCTTGATATGTGGTACTTTGTTGCCAAATAGATCTGAAAAACACTAATAGACAACAACCACCTGCTGACTGATTAGATTAGTTTGGTTCACAGAGTCATCTTCCATAATTAGGTATAACAAAAAGGTCATCTTAATTATAACAATCTGAAAATGTTTTAGTTTTAAAGCAGTGGTTACAGCTCCAACTACTGGAACTATAATATTTAACATACTCATTACTACTGTCCAATTTTTAAAATTATAAATTGGTATTCTTTGAGGAATATTACCAAAGGTAAGGATTATCTGAAGAAATTAAGAATATTAAAGAAAATGAGCCAAAATAAATTTCTAGATGATAAAAATCAAGAAAAACCTACCATTTTCAATTTTGCTTTTTGGATGTGGTCCACTAAATGCTAAAAATTTTCCTGGAACAATCCAGTTGAAGTCACCATTTTCAACTCGCTGGCAGAATTTTGTGAAAGAAGAAAAAAAAAATGCAATTTTTATACAATTTAGGAAAGTTACAAATAAAACTAATTTTCACTCTAAACTAATTTGATCTATATTAAGGCAAAAGAACACAGTTTAAAACAAAAACATATCTGTTTCTCAAAATGCTATTTATTAATTTAAAAAATCATCTAGATATTATATAGAAGTTTGTGGTTGTTGTTATGAGCCATAAAGTCCCTTGCAACTCATAGTGACCCTTTTGCGTTCACAACAGCTGTGAACCCTGTTTAGAAAATTTGATGTTTGCTAAACTTAAACTTGGCTTATGAAAATTTAATCTCTTGACCAACAAAATGAAGTGAAAACTAACTTTTTTCCCATTTCTATCCACTTGGATAAATGTGGCTGTGAGAAAATGAGAGATATAAGCAGTTTCAGGAACATAACAAACCAATTTTAAGCACTGGGAAAAAATATCTGTAATAGTCAGGATTAGGATGAACAATGACCTCCAAATTATTATGTGTTTTCATAGGCTTAAGTCTGCTGTTAATGCTGAATTTTAGGCTGGGAAAAGGGAGAAAACAAGGGTGAGGAATAGAGGCCCACTAGGCCTTGAGTGGACCACAACATGAAGTCAACCAAGGTCTCTTGAATGGATTGCAAGCCAGGAAAGTGCCATGAACAAGAGCAGCTGCCCCTCAGCTAATCAATTAGCAAGTCTACAAACAAATTAAGAGACCTGCAGGATAGTTGACCCAGCCTTCCAAATAGGTTTGCTTGTGAAACCACCCTGTCTTCCAAATGCTGCTGACTATGTTAAGTTTTTGAATGAAAACTTGAAGCCAAGTAATACAGAGCTGTGGGTTGACTCTGAGCCCCAGCTTATCATCTTTGGTCTACACACACTATGGGATCCTCAGGAAAGACTTGCAGACCAAACGAAGAGCCAGGAGCCCTCCCATCTCCATTTTCTTCCCCTCCACAGATGCTCAGAGTGAATGGAAATCTGGGGCAAGGTTAAGGTTATAAATGACTTGTCATGTAGTTGGGGGCCATTTGTGTAATGTGTCATGAAATACAAATATCACTTCCTCACTTAGGCCTTCTTTAGTTCTCACTAGGAAGCTCTGGTGGCTGACTGGTAGAGAGTTGTGATGCCAACCCAAAGGTCCAGGATTCGAATCTACCAGCTGCTCCAAGGGAGAAGGAAAAGCAATCTCCTCCTGTGCAATTTACAGCTTCTGAGAACTTGCTGGAGGATCAGCTCGGAGTGGACTTTTAGATCTCTCAAGAAGAACTGTTGGTCCTGTGGATTATGTTTCAGGCTGACACCGACCCCAGGGCTCTTTATGACGCCCAAACTCATTGTCATCAAGTCAGAACCAACTCGCAGATGAACCCTCTAGTCGGTTTTCAGAGGCTGTAAATCCCATGGGAGGAAACTGCCCATCTTGTCCCGAATTACTGCTGGTGGATTCCAACCACCAGACAGGAAATGCCTCTAGGTTAGCAGCACAAACCCCCGTGGATTAACATTATGAGCACACAGACCAACTTAAGACTCAAATGGGGCTGTTTATTATGAGCTGAATAAAAGTTTAATACACAGTTCTTTATGGCAATACAATATTTTCATTTTTAACTTGAGCAATCTCAAACTAATGGTCCACAATTAATTACCCTCACAAGAACTTAAAAGTATGAAATATTTTAAAATTCTTATATTTTAAAAAACTCAAGAACGATGATAAACACACATTTTAAAACAGTTCTTAATGAGCAAGTCAAGAAAACCAGTTTCTATGTTCACTACTTCTACACCCATGGCATGACTGTTTGGATTAGAGACTACAGTAACCTTTTACAATCACTCATATGGAGACGGGCAATGGACTCCCTAAGATACATTCATTCACTCAAACTCAACAGAATGTTTGTAAAGCTGCCTACTGAAAAAGCTAAACATTAGATAATAAATATAAGGTGTTATTTAGCAGCTTCAATGAGGTTAATGGAGTGAAAATAAGATATTTCAGCCTTAGTTTTAAATCTGAGGAGGAGAAATTCTTGAAAAGCATATAGCTCTTAATCGACCTAATAGAAACTCTATGGGTAAGCCTTCAAAATTAGCCTCTGTGCCTCATTTCTTGTAGAACTATAAAAATGTCAATATTTTTCAATAATAAAATATTTAAGATGACCCAAGTTGGTTGTTCTAATTAATTAATACCCACATCAAAGAACTTTCAATTAGTTACTTTGCAACTCCACCTCACTCTGTAAACAAACAACTAAGCAAGGATGAAACAGGAGCACAACTGAACCTCTTTCATTAAAAGCCAAGGACTGCACATTTCATATCATACAGAAAAACTTGTTGCAACAGTGTTAAGTGCACAGCTGCAAACCAAAGGTCTGCAGTTCAAACCCACCAACTGTTCCACAGGAGGAAAATCCAGTAGTCTGTTTCCCTAGAGATCTTGAGCCTCAGGAGTCGGGGGTGGCGTGGTGGGGGGCATGTCCTCCTCCAGGGCGACGGTGAGTCAGAACTGACTCAACAACAACTGGGGTTTGGGGTTTATTACCATGTAGAAAAAACCTTACTGTAAGAAAACCCTAAAATGGGCCCCAGCTCCCAGCTGGAAACAAAGGAGGACGCTTCAACGATTTAGATCCTCCCAGAATTGCTGTGGGTGAGCATTAACATTACTGGTAAGTATATTCGTTTTCTTCTGGACACAGAGCCTACTAATTGGTCCTAAATGCCTTCTGAGGTCCCAACCCTTCTCACTAATTTTTAGTTGTTGGAATGGACGGAAAACCTCATAAGCAGTACCTTACTTCACCTCTGCCTTGCATGTGGACTTCCGAGTTGTAAAACAACCCCATGGTAGATGGAATTTGCTCCAGGACTTACGAACAGTAAATGACATAGCTGAGCCTCTACATCTTGTGGTTCCTAACCTCTACACTATAATAGACAAAGTGCTAGTCAATAGGCCTTTTATTGTAAGAACCACCTTCCCTCTGTAACTTGATTTATGCCACTATTAGAACCTCTACTGGGAATATTTAGGTTCTTTTATATGTATACTTTCTATAGGATTGATTCTTCAGCCTACAAAAAAAAATTCTAGTTCTTTTGAGTGACTAGCGCTCCTAGTGCATTTAAAATACAATCCCATTTAAAAGCATGAAGTTACAACTTCCAAGAAATGTGTCAGTGCCAGAGAGGCATGCCTCTGTTAGAATTGTTTTTATTGTTGTTGTTGTTGTTAGGTGATGTCAAGTCGAGTACAACTCAGAGCGACCCTATGAACAACAGATTTGAACCCTGTCCTATCCTGGGCCATTTTCATCACCTCTGACACACTTGAGCCCACAGCAATAGTCACTGTGTCAATCCGTTTCCCTAAGGGTCTTCTCTTTCTTTGACCCTCCACCTTTCCAAGCATGATGTCCCTTTCCAAGGAACAGTCTCTCCTGGCAACATGTCCAAAATATGTAAGACAAAGTTTTGAATCCTTGCCTCCAAAGAACACTCTGGCTGCACTTTTTCTTAAGATATATTTTCTTTCTCAATCAAGACATATTTTATGTTTGTTCTTTGTGCAATCCATGGGATATTTCAGTGCACTTCTCCAACACCACAACTAAAAGGCATCAGTTCTCTTCTGTCATCCTTATTCACTGTTCAGCTCTCAGATGCATAGCAAGTGCATGCATTTGCTACGGACGAAGGACTGAATCAGGCGTATCTCAGTCTTCAAATTGGCATCAATGCTCCTCAGTAACTTGGAGAGATCCCTGACAGCATACATGCCCAATGCAATACCTTCCTGATCTCTGACTGCTGGTCCCAAAGATATTGAGTGTGGATCCAAATAAGATGAAATCATTGACAATTTGAATCTTTTCTCCATCTATCATGATGTTATTTCTCAGTCTAGTAGTGAGAATTTTTGTCTTCTTGATGTTGAAATGTTATCCGTATTGAAGGCTATAGTCTTTGATCTTCTGCAGACAGTGTTTCAATTCCTCCTCACTTTCAGCAAGCAAGTTTGTGTCATCTGCAAATTGCAGATTGTTGATGTGTCTTCCTCCAATCCTGATGTCACAGTTTCCTTGACGGAGTTCAGCTTCTAGAATAACTTGCTAAGTGTACCAACTGATTAGGTATGGAGATAGGATACAGCCCTGATGCACACTTTACTGATTTTAAACCATGCTATGTTCAAACAACAGTTTCTTCATCTAGGTATAGGTTTCGTATGAGCATAATTAAGTGTTCTGGAATTCTTATTCTTATCAAAGTTAGCTATAGTTTGTGTACACATAATCAAATGCCTTTTCACAGTGAATAAAGCACAAATTGACATTCTTCTGGTTCTTTCAGCCAGGATTTATTTGACCTGAGTAACGGTATCTCTGGTGTCCTGGCCTCTCTAAACCCAGCTGGAGCTTCTGTCATAGTAGACATATATTTCTTTTTCAGTCCAAATTATGAAAATATTTAGTCATTTAGCACTGTAATATACTGACAATAAGATGGAAAAGGGAGTCCTTGAGGTTGTCAGTTACAGGGCTGACTCCCTTATCTACAAATGTGTTTTCTAAAGCAGTGCATAGAGTAGAGGACTCATAGTGACTCTATGAACGAAAGACCTGGACATTTGTATAACTTTCATCCTTTCTCCAGGTTCATAGGGTTTCTGGAGGCATGCTATTTCAGAAGTGGATGCCACTCCTGCTTCCAAGCTTGATTTAATCAGGAAGCTCCACCAAACACTGTCAGTCATGGGTGAGCATTATCGCATCTGACACATCAGTGTCACACTGTTCAGCTTCACAGCAACCACAAGTTACCTCTGTACAGCAAGTGGACACACCAGGGCTATATGACCTAGAAGAACGTCTGACCACAGATTAAAATCACCCACCGTAAAACAAATTTTAAAAAGAAAAAAAAAATCTTTCTGCTCACATGAGTCTAAAGACAAATGGGA